TCCTCACTGCGTCTCTGCCCTAGCTGCGACTCTCATCTTCAACCATCGCTTCTGCCCTAGCTGTGGCTCTCCTCCCTCGTGCCGACCTTAAATATCTGGTCCTCTCCTACCCAAAATCATCGAGAAAGGTACCAAATATGTTTGAGCAGCTGCTGATATTCACAGGAGGCGAACTCATCTTATGGAATTGCAAGGAGCTCAGCAACGCCATCAGGTGATCTCTAATCATGCTTTTATTTTAAGCTTTTTGCCACCTCTTGTTGCGACGCTGGTCTGGAATCTTCTTCTTGTTATCTACTCTTCCCTTGAAGCACAACAAGGTGGAAAAGAGGAAGTGTGTCTTGAAAAATATCAGACTTGATCAATAGATTGATAGATGCCGCGGATCTGCTCGCCAAGAGATGGAACTTATTCTGAAGTACAAAATCCATTCATTGTGGAATACAAGGATTCTTGGGTTAAAAAGTGTTGTTATGTTTGTATTATTATTCATCTGATTCGAATTTTCATCGCTAGGCATTGTTGCTTCTGTGGCATCTTCGACTGCTTCTTACGCTTCTCTTCGTCCGCTTAAGCTTCGGGACTCCTTAGATTGATGGCTACAGCTTCGGCAAACCATAGATCTTAGGTTTCGACATTCATGACTTCGACACTCTCGAGCTTCGACACTCACTGTTTGAGGATTTTTGGTCCTAGCAATGTTATCAGTTTTTTGTTTGCAAATTGATGCTTTTTGATCAGTCAACATCAATTTGAGGGGGATGTCAATCAGGAAGGATGAAAATTAGACAACTAAATTATGTGTTTTCTATAATTAAGAACTTCCTTATTTAAATTATTTCTTATATCTTTATTCTGATTTATTTCTATTTTAGTTGAATATATAGATTAGGAATATGTAATATTAAGTTACCTAAAATAGATTATACAAATTGTTTTGTACCTAAAATAGATTGTACGATTATTATTTAATGGAATGAAAGCAAAGGGACAAGGCATCAAGTACTATTCAGCATTCAATCTATTTGTTCAAAACTTTGACACTTTAACTCTCTCTGTAATTATATAGTATTGAACATTAATATGTTTGCTTCTTTCGTCATACATTTGGTTATTGGCCAAGTGAATAACTCAAATTTGCTAATATTTTGGTGCAAACTCCATGTTATGTACTCAACCTTTTGACAAATAGCTGCTTTGGCTCGAGTCTTTTTAGTCCAGCTCTGGCATATGTTCAAGTCTCATATGTTATAATCTTGACAAATCATCTAAAAAAAACTGTTGCGACAATTATCACAATGCTTCCTAGAGGAAGTAGAGGCTGCCAACTTTCTTTGCTATCATTGATTCGATGCACATGCTAAAACATGTAATACTCCACTTTCAACAATGTATCTATTCCTATTGATCCGAAGACAGCTTAAATAGAGTAGGTTATTCAAAGGTAATTCATATTTGACTTCTTTCTATGTCCTCTTAGCATCATTTTTTTTTTATCCCTATTCTAATATTCTTACACGCGATGAAATTTCATGCCCATTAGGACATGTCCATCATTGACAAGCCTATTAGATAACCAATCTTTAGGTGGGGTCATGTGATGAGAACATCTATTATTAAGAATCGAATCCAATGTAGAATAAACTCAAAAACTTCACTTATTTTTTTTCCTGCTACTAATGTTTCTTCAGACGGAAAATTTCTTTTTTTTTTAATCATCGATTCATTTGACCGTTCCTTGAAATAACCTACAAGTAGATTTTCAATATCTACGTTTTTTGTTGTGGTTTCATTATCCATTCTTGGAGAACTTTGATTTTGATCTTACTCTTATTCATGCTTGCTTTCTTCAAGTTTCTTGGTCTATCATAAATAAGCCCATAGTTGAAATTTCGTCTTGCACCTTCATCCTCACTCATTAGAAGAAGAGTAACCTTCACCTCCATCATGAATATTATAGCTTTATCATGAAGCAAGGTGATAATAGTATGCGAATAAGTGGATGAGAAAGAATTTAACAACTTCAAAATTTTATCCTCTTTAATTCCACATCAAGAATTTGTAGATCTAAGCAAAGCTTGTTGTAGATATTCCATTTCTCTTATAGTGACGTACCTTTTTTTAATGTGCAATGCAAACATCTATTACTAAAAATTAAAATGATTGCCAAGCAACTTCGACATGCAGAAGTATTCTAATCTTTTTCACATATCCTGTGCAAGTCTCTAAATTGCTATATTCCCACAACCTTGTCTCCCAATTGTTGATAATTAAATTGAGGTACTTTTGTTCATTTCTTGTTTCTCATTTGTGTATGTAGGGAATCATTTCTGCTCAAAACCTTAAGTACCCCTTTCTTGAGAAAAGATGTTTTTATCTTCATTTTTTTAAATATTTAAATCATGGATTCCATTTTACTTCGTAAACTCACATTTATTAGTGCAGTTGAAAGACGTTGTTTCAATAGATGATGCCATCATATTGTTATAATCTTGCTTTGATGTTAATGTTTTGTAACTGAAGGCCAAAATCACACTCTTAAGAGAGCACCGATGATCTAGAAGGGAACAACCTAGCAAAAATAAAGCTTTTACTACACAAATACTTATAGAGCAATTAAATAACCACACAAGAGTAACCACCAAATTTATGTTGTTTTGTATGAATGACCTGCATCAGGAGGACCAGGAACATGAAATTGTCCGCTATTAATTTGTATATAGTACAAAATAAGAGTACCAAAACATATGCCAAATCCCGTTCACATAGAGTTAACAATAAGGAGAATGGCGAAGATCTGACAAAATCTTTGTAGGTCAAAAACTAAGAGCTGAACATGAGCTTGACCCATGGTCGAATTCTCTGACACGAACCCGGCTCGAAAAATATTCGGGTCAACCAAATATCAATACGTTTGCACTGTTAATTTGTCCAACTCTTTGCATGCCAAGCTACCAACCTAGTGCACTTGGAAATCATTTATGTATGCTTCTTTATATAACTAAAATAAATGGTGATTTTGAGCTTACATTAGCGCTCACCTTTAACTATGAGCTATCCAAAATAATAATTGATCTAAATAATGTTTTTATAATAATTTATGCAATAAAATAATAAATTTGTTATTTATTCAACAAACCTCATATCTTAAATGCATTATTGAGTCAAAAATATATTGATTATATTTTATTATGGCTAATATTTATTTGGCGAACTTAAATGTTATGCATTTAAAACCATTTTAGGAGTAGTTGTAGCTCTACTTGAGGTTCTTTTGGTCCTCAAGCAAGTGCTTTCTTGATTTTATTGCTAGTTGGGCATAATATATGATGTACGGACACTCCTAATTAAGGAGTCGTGCAATGTTGAACACCTGTCGGACACGGCTTTGATACGTGTCGAACATGACATTGAAGTGTCAGATTTAAATAATATTTAAAAAAATTTGATGTGTTTCCCATTTAAGTCCAAAATTAATGAATTAAAATTTTATGAAATATATTTTTAAGTTTAAAATTAAACAAAATAATTATTTTGTAAAATTTAATGAAGATTTACATACATACTCCTCATTTTTTATGTATTTACATAGCTAACACAAATTTCAATTTTTACATATGCCCCCTTACATATATATGAAAAGGTGTATTACTTTTTAAAATTGAAAATAGTAGTATATTAGATGTGATATGAAAGATTTAGGTGGCCTAAATGTGAAAACGAAAAGTTAGGTGTTCGATATGTAAATACATAAGAATTGGGTGCTAAAGAAGCTGATGATCCTTTTAATTATTTTAATAAATAGTTATTAAGAGGATTTAAATCTTGATGTAATACAAACTAATATATAGTTTTTTTTTGTATGTCATAAACTTAACAATTATTTGTGGACATTTTAGTTTTTAAAAGTTATTCTTATTAAATTTTTATTTTCTATTTTTATATTGTTCTAAATTATTTATTTATTTATTATATAATAATAATAATAATAATAATAATAATAATAATAATAATAATTTTTATTATAATAGCATGTCCAACACGTGTTCGTATTCTATGTTTTTAATAATAGACATATCTAGTGACCGTGTAATATCGTGCCCGTGCCCCCATGTCCGTATCTTTGTAACATAGGGCATAACCTAGCACAAACATCTCAAAAGGGAAGGTGCAACGAATCACTTGATGATAAGCATATGGGTGATAAAGAAGTCCCAAATAATTAGGCTGAATGTAGCAAAATGTCAATATTGAGATGGATTTCTTACAAAATCAAAAAAAGATAGATTTAAAATCAAAGGGATTGTAGGAGTGCACCATTTGTAAAGATAAGTTAATGAAAAATTGATTTAGGTGATCTTTGCATGTTCAAATGCGCTTAAAAAATGCACTAATTAAATGGATAAATAAAATTAATGTGGAAGGACTTTGTGGGGAAAGGGACAGACCGAAAAAGACATACATAAAACTTATGTTGAGGAATTTATATGCTGTAGATTTAACACATCAAGCAATGCTAAATGTGAGTAAGTGGAGAGTGAGGTCACGAAGCCAACTCCAAATAGTTTGGATATGGCCAAGTATATTGTCTATTTTCTATTCGGGGCATTTACATACATGCCATCCCTTAGTATTACAATACCTAATACCTAAACTTTACTTTTTTACATTTATACAATCCAAATCTTTTATATCACATTGAAAATATCATTTTTTTTTAACATTTTAAGAAGTGATATACAACCTTTCATGCTGAGATAAGGTGGCATGTATGCGAGAGTTGAATATTAGGTGTTAAAATATGTAAATGCTTAGGAATTGAGTGGTATGTATGTAAATCTTCCTTTCTACTATTATGGATCACCTCAGAAGATAAACGGGTTCAATTTTGTTTTATTTTTTTTCTTTCAGCGGCCCCAATCTTAAAAAAATTAAATACTTTCTTTTTGTGAAGTTTCTGAGACAATCCAATTGACCCTTTCATATATATCTCTGGACAGCTATCCAGCATCTATGAAGGTGCTACTCACTTTTAAGTGTCTTGCAATATGCTAGTCCTCTTCTTATGGAGGAATCCAGCTTGGATCAGGCATATACATTTGGTGATCGAAACACAAGTGATGTTACAGTTCTCCTGAAGAACTGGGAAGACAGGCCAGAATTAATATATTGTCACTCAACCATTTTGGTAAGAAAAAGCAAGTTCTTTGCCGAGCAGCTTCCCAAGGATCATGCTTCAAGAACAAAAAATGATCCTACTATTTGCATTCAGGTTCCTTGCCAGGGTTCTCAGTATGACTACTATGTTAAAGTTTTGAAACTTTTATATGTCTCTGATGATTCAGTTTTGGAATCTTGGGATTCTGCGAGGTCTGCTCTTGGAGTTCTCCAAGCTTCTGTTACACTTCACTGCGACTCCATCATTGAGAGCTGCATTCGGTATCTGGAAGCTGTGCCTTGGGATGAAAAGGAGGAAGAAGAGATACTGAAGATTGTACCAAACCTTGGTCCTGCAGCTATTCCCATCCTGGCCCGAATCCAGCCCGTTGATCTAAATGCTACCAAGAATGTTTTCATCTCTGCCATACACTTTGCAACATCAATTGAAAGATCTTTTCCTCCCTTTGTCGATGACCTAAAAACTTCAGCCAAGGAGCAAGTGGAATACATGCTACTAGAAGATGAAGACACTCCTTTGGTAACAGTGGATGAGGATGTGATGTCCGAGGCCCGGACAGGCCTGGGCAACATGTTCACAATATTTGAGACTGAGCTGAATGCCACCCCATTGGACTTCGAACAGTCGCCAGAGGCTGCAGAGCAGAGAGTTTTGCAATGCCTCGTAGATCTAGAGTGGATGTGCGGTGTTCTTTCAAAGATGGAAATGTTGAGGGATTTTGTCATTGGTTTGGCTAAAATCTCTGATAAAATATTGGCCGTAGTCCAAGATGAGAAGTACAGTTCGTGTCTTTGGGCAGTCAAGGTAAAAGTGATTGAGGTGGTTGGTAAGGCCCTTGACGCAATTGGATATGGAAGTGTGGTACTTCCAGCTCCATCCAGGGTTCATTTCCTTACAACATGGCTTCCATATTTGAGAAAGATGAAGCCTTTATTAGATTGGAAGAGCGATAGCGATGAATCCTTTGCATACAAGTTGGATAGCGATCTTTGCCAAAATATTGAGGGTGCGATTATATCTCTAATTCTTGCGCTGCCTTCTGGTGACCAGGCAGATATACTTGGCGACTGGATGCAGAGGACTGAAGAGCTGAAATTCCCTGACCTGAGCGAGGCATTTGAGGTATGGTGCTATCGAAGCAAAACTGCAAAGAGAAGACTATTACTTGGAGTTGGAAATCCCACTGTGAGCCTCTTATAAGGTGTGCACGATCATAGTTCAGGTAATGTTTTAGTCTGCTGAATCTCATCTCCCTTTATTGTAACAAATATTAATATTATTTTATCAAAACCACGATTTTAGGTTAAGTTAGTTTTTGTTCATCTGGTAATCTATATTTAGTGCTGTCATTTTTCATTTTTGTATGAGAACTGGGCTATTGACCATCATCGAGCCTGCAGTTTTCAACTTTTTTGTCGATTTTTAGATTGCTTGCTAATTTTGATGCTGGCAATTGCCAGGTTTACTGTAATGGTGGCTTTCCTTAAAAGTTTTTTTTTCCTCCCCTGATCAACTGTAATGATTTTGTATTTGACGAGTTAAATTTGTTTAGGTATTTGAAAATTGATTTCACATTGGAAGAGGAATCAAAATTTTCTTTGTAATTTACATGCAGATATCTATAATGGAAGATTTTGTATTCCTTAATGTGGCAGAAAAGCAGGAAGAAGCAAACAATTTAAGGGCTGTTTGGTTTTAGGTAACAGTTTTATCTAAATAGCATTTCTTTGTAAATAGCATTGTAATGTCATGTAATTTTTTTTGTTTCGTTTAATCATATTTAAAGATTACAGTGCAATCTAAGAGTAAGGTTGTTTGGTCTGGTGCTTTCTGTGAAGCATTCTTCCTAGTAAAATTACCCCGCTCAAATGGGAGCATTTTTTAAAAAGAAAAAAAATTCACAGGTTTTCAAATTGCAAACTAGTAGAATAGGTAAGAGAAAGTCCAGCTGACGGCTGTCCAACAAAGTTACTCAGCTAGACACCAAATGCTGCACTTTCTACGTCAAATTCTATTGTGGCATTCCAAAATGGGATGTCCAGTGTATGAATTCATAAGAAATAAAACTGTACTTATTTTGAAGTGTATTTAAGACAAAGAAAGTTGCATTTGTGTGCCATTTAGCTTGCTTGATCAATATTTCGAAGTTTTTCTGAAAGTTCTGATTTTGAATTCTGCCTACATCAAGTTTATGCTTTTGACATTTTGCCTTTTAAAAAAAATTAGCAATGGAATTAGCTGTTATTTACACATTAATTACTATCATTGGATATCATACCTATTTGTTTATGACAATGCTATTGTGCACACAAGATTAATCTTCATTTTCAGTGTATTTATCACTATTCCGTACGTTTTAGGCTCTGTCTCTCTTTTTATACTTGAACATAGAAACAACAAGGCTGCTCACTTTCACTTCTTAGTCCAGGCCTCAAACTAAAAACCAAGGTAGCTTTTTCTGCAGGTTTTCCCTTATTCTCTTATGTATGTTTCTAGCTTGCGGTTGATCGATGTCTATTCCAGCGGCCAGCCTTCACATTACACAAGAAGCAAGCTAGAGTTTCATTCTACCTACACATTTTCTATACCATTGCTTTTATGCACACGAGATATTCAGTCTCCCTTTATAATGAAATGAAAGAAACTCCCTCATGTCATATCGTCAGCTAACTCTTCCCTTGACTTCACCAATCCCTAAAAAGGTATGCAAAAGGGCTGCCCCTAAGTACAAGTCCAAATCCATTCTACCTGTTTGTATGCGCTCATTTCTGATGAGTGAATCTCCCTTCAGCATGCTTTTAAGCTTCACTCATTCTTTGGCTTGATCCAGCTTAGAGCAAGTAGAATTTCATCTTCCTTTTTTAGTTGTAATAGAATGGTTTTTCTTCATTTACTTAATAAAACTCCATCTCTCATCATAGAGCAATGCCAACACAGGAAGGCGGCGGCCCCGCTAACACAACACAGGATGGCATAGTCCGAGGAAACGCATTTAGCCATCATACGGCATATATTACCGTTAAAATCCAAATTCCTGAGGTGATTATCAAAATTTTCCTGATAATATGTGATCTGAATTTGATGTTATTTGTTCAAACTAATTTAATTTTCTCCCAAACTTAAATTTTTTCACAGTATGTTCAAAGCTGAGCAATCCAAAACCATTATTTCATTTGGAAAATTATCCTGGGTTTTTTAAATCATGGTTGAAGTAAACGAGCAATCATTGGAATTTTTAATTTTTTAAAAAAATTTTCAGTTGCTGGACAAGCTGTTGTTTTGTTATTTTATTTGGTCGAGTTCTGCTTTCTCATTTTGTTGAGTTATTAGCAAGTTTCAAATCCTGATTGGACATCAAACTAGAGAATACGAAGGTTCAATATTTGACGGTTGAAGTAACATAATAATGTTATAATATGTTCAGTTTATGAAAAATATATTATAAAATATAATATGTGCAGTATATGAGTTATTAGCGTGTTATCATTTTATTGTCTAGGTGCTATGCTAAGCTCTTTATTTTGAGAGCATATTATATGAGGTTCTGGTGCCTTGACGGTGTGCTCTTTGCTTTTGAGTATTTTTCCTGGAGCCATTTGTGCCACAATGCCCATTTTTGGTGTCGTAGCACTACTCCCATTTGAAAATGGGAGCCATTTAGCAAAACATGATAAGATTGGTTGCTCAATCTTATAGGAAACTCACTCGATTTAGCAGACAATCATTACTTATTCCACCTTTTAAACAATCTTTAATAAACTTTAATAAAAATTAATGAACTTAAATAAATTTTAGTAGATTTTAACAAACTTTGATGAACTTCAATAAATCCTAATAAACCTTAACAAATTTTAACAAAATTAAATTAAAAAAACTTCAATAAAATTAAACCAACCTTAAAAAATATTAATACATCTTAAATCTTTAAACAAACTGAAACAAATTTTAATAATAAACTTAATGATCCTCAAATAAACCTTAAATAATCTTCAAATAAATTCTGAAAGAAACATAAAACAAACCTAATAATTTTAACCAGAATTAACGTAAACAATCAATTTCAAAAAACTTAAATAAATGATTTTAAACGCACACATACATATTCTCAATAAACAACTTCTAATGTAAACTTAAATCAGTAAAAAAAAAAAAAAAATCAACTCAAATCTAACCTTTAAATGAAATTAAAACTAACCTACTCAAGTCTTTAGCTCAAGTGAATCAAATTTAATCAGGCTTACCTTGATTCCTGTGTAAATCACTTCAATCTTTAGTCTATCAATCGGAGTCTTTGATATCAATCGTCTCTCACAAACACTTACCGATAATTATGCACGATATAAGACAAACACTTAATCGAGAGTATTCTTGAGAGCCATCAATCTTAAGATTTAATTAACTGTGAGAGCTTCTCCTCATAGGGATACCATATCCCAAAATAAAATAAAATTTATTTTACACTTGAAAGGTAAGTGAAAAAGCCTGGTTTGTGGACCCATAAATCATGAAGATTTAATTTTCTCCTCTCTTTATAGATTCATTTTAAAGTAATATTTCTATTTCTTAGGATAATATATTATTCTCCGAGATTGATTTTTTGGTTAATTGTGTTTGTTTAACCTTGGCTAATTTTGGATTCACCACTTACCGACCTTTTTATTAATTGTTTTAGATTGAATTTTTTGTTTCTAAATAAGATAATGATTTGGACAAATAAGACAAATAAAAAAAAAACATTAACAGTTTTATGTAGGATTTTTTGGTTAATTAACTGATTTTATCATGGCAAAATGATAAAAGGGTATATAAAGGCTATTTGAAGATTATAGATATGTTATATTTTTCAATCAGCAGTTATGATAAATCTATTATAAGTTTTTATTCAAAATCTTGATTAACTTATGGTTTCTTTTTTTTTTTTATTTCTGTTATCTCATACACCCATGATTTACTTATAACATACATAAGAAACTAATTTTAAACTTTTAATTATCTCATACACCCACGATTCAAACACAAACGAACGAATCACTGTTCATGTTTGGTTCGTTTAACTAACCGAACGAAAAAAAATTTTTCACGTTCGTCTCGTTTAATTATCGAACGAATCGAACACGAACTCATTGACGAACCAAACACTAACTGTTCGCGAACAACGAGCTTTTTTGACAGCTCTAATCGTTAGCTTCCAGTTATAAAAAAATCTTTCAAAAAAATACTGTTCTACGTGAAATTAAATTAAATCTCAAATTATAATTACATCTAAAAAATGACGAATTAATAAACTTAACAGTGTATTTCAGAACATATTACTCTGTAATTAATTATCAATGTCTAGTAACTCTATTTCAGCAAATTATTGATGCAGCAGGTAGATCTTCATCAGTACACCTCTGAAATGCTGTACAATATATCTATAGCATTCTTATGTTTACATTTTGCCTGCGAGCAATAATTCAAAGCAGTTTCTGGATCACTAAATGACTAATTATTGACCGCAATTTATCATTCCCGTCCTTACTAATTTGGACCATAACCTCTACGGGAGCAGAAGCATTCATTTCTCTACGAAGCCTGGTACGTCTATCTTCACTCAAGGAATTGATGGACCTCTGGGATCCAATGACGTGCTCATTAGATATATACTATTTTGCTTTAAGGAAATAAACACTAAATTTCATAGAAATAATAAAAAATAACATCATCTATTGCATATAACCGCGAAGCATTTGTTAAAGGCGTTGTAATGCATTTCTTCATCTTTCAACTTTCATGCTTGAGATAACTAGTTCAACAAAAACAACAATAATAAGTCATTAGCCTATTAAGTGAGGTCGGTTGCATGAATCATTTTTTTTCTATAACGTCTTATTGATTGTCATATTTTCATTTAATTCTAATAGATGAAAATAATTTTTTTATACAATATACTCGAGCCTTTTTAGGTCTACCTCTATTTTTTTAAAATAAGTTGAATCTAAAACATTTACTCTCATGCCCGGATCATTAGGTGGTCGATGTTTAATGCAACCAAATCATCTGAGACGACTCTCTCCAATCTTGTCCGCCACTGGAGCTACACCAACCCTACCATAGATATGTTCATTTTGCATTTTTTCTCTATGTTGAAGTCAATCATCCAACTAAGCATTCTCATTTCAGCAACATTTAAATTTATTTTATGCTTCCAACATTCTGCACCACAGAGCATTGCAGGTCAAGCCACTCTAGATAACTAGTTTATAGGAAAAAAGATTTTGTGCCTAAGTTATAATAAACTTATTATTGTGGTGTAGCCAAGTTCATAGCACTTCCAAAAAATTGGAATTTTTTTATCTTGTAATAATTTAGTTATAACTACTTTGAATTTTGTTCTTAAAGAAGTATCAACGAATTATAAAATAACCAACTTTTTTGGAACTCATGATTTTGGTTATAAATTATATTGTTAAAAATTTAATCCTATTAGGTTGATTCGGTAGAGTGTATGGTAATATAAAGACTAATGGAATGCTCGATGTTTCCGATGAGGACACTATATTCTAAGTTGCGCCATTTGTGTATTGAATAATTCAATAATGTGGTTAATTTATTTAGAACCTTAGAGTTCACTTGTAATTTTATTTGATGTTGAGGACTTGAGTTGTGTTGAATATTGATCTATCCAAAGCAAAATCAAAACCCTAATTGCAAGACATCATTTTAGTAGAGAAAAATTTTAGAAATTTGATCAAGTTAAATACTTGCTTTTATAAGTAAAAAATTTATTCAATTAATTTAGTCCAATATATATGTTAAAAGAACATGCTTTAAACTTTCAAAATGACATAATTTTCTGAATATGTAAATACATAAAGCTTTATACAATTGTGTAGTAAGTTTTTCTAATATAGTTGTCAATCAATGAAAAATTTATCCCTTAATCTATGTCAAGCACTAATAAATATTGAGTTCTCATGCACGAAAATCTGTGATTATTATTCCTAAAAAGATTATAGTTTTTCAAAAATCAATATGCACATGATATTAGAAAACTAATTATTAACCCTACTTTATTTATTAGTATTTTTGCCAAAATTACTTGATCATAATTGATTTCAAAATACATCTAGT